GACATAATCAGCATGAGGAGAAGCTTTCACTTGCAAACAGACCAAACAGTGAGATAAGATTTAGCCTGAAAAGATAAACATCAGGGAGGATATGATTGAAATCTTAAAATCATAAAAGGTATGGATGAAATACAGTTGAGATTTATCAAATCTTTAAAATTAACTATAGTTAATTTTAGGATAAATACTAGTAACTGCAGCTGGAAGAAAAGGAGTGTGTAGGACAAATAAAAGGAAGTACAGTCGTAGAGTATAAAATAGAAGCAGGCGTCTTTTCCCCCATAGAATTAGCTCAGGCTGAGGAGAAAGAATATGTAGTGTTACAGTGTTTTGAATTCAAAATGATAGATTACTAAGAGTGAAGAAAGGAAATGAGGCATGTTTGAGGATAAACCTCTAGCCCAGTCCTGTCCAATAGGACTTTGTACAGTGATGGAAACCTATTATGTCTCCACTGCCTTGTATAGCTACTAACCACATGTTTAATGAATTTAAATTTAAACAATTACAGTGAACAGTGCCTGCTTTAGGCTTTTGAAGTTGATGGAGAAGACAGACATGTCCTGGTGTAAACCACTGCTAATTATCCTCCATCGGAATATTGAACAAGAAAAAGGAAATTCATGAGTCTGACCCTGCACTCTGTTTCCTATTTTATGTTACTAAACAATGCTGGCTGTGACCCGCTAAATGGACTTCGCACTCCATTGCTGGGTCATGACCAGCATTTTGAAAAACACCTCTCTAAAGCCTTTTGGACAGAGGGAGAAGCATGTGAAAAGCTACACACGAAGATGAAATCATAGGCAAGGACTATTGAATTTGTATCTGAAAAAGGAGAAGATCCAGAAGGTATCCTGGAAACAGTGTGCTATGGTATGCCATAGTATAAAGGAGAAAAGAAGTCAGAGATAATAGAGTAATAGTAGGACAGTACAGGCTGACTAGGCGTCTTTAGCCATCTTATGAAAGTGAAAAGGTGCAGTGGTTTCCTGGTTAATCTGAGGTAGAAGTGAGTCACCCCTGAGGAAAGCATAGACTGTGGCATTGTGGAAACAGATGGGACACTCTGGTCCCTAGGGAAGTGGGTCTGCGATGGCTCTAGGCCCCCACGTCGCTAAAATAGCCCTGCGTGCGGGGCTTCCTCATAAGCTTTCTTTTGAAAACCACTCTTCTAGCCTTCCTCAAAATTGAGATTATTTTCAGCAGAGGTTGTAGTAGTTTTATATTTTCTCTTATTCTAAGACATGGGTTAGTTTTATTTATATTAGAGAAAATACCTATCTCTGAATTAAAACATTACCACTATTTTTATAACATATTTATGTGGAATTTAAAAAATTCAGTCATTGTTCTACCATCTAGACAAATGATATTTATTTTTTCTTGTTCCTTCAAGATTTGATCTATGTAAACTTATAATCACTGTATGATATATATGGTTTTTGCTTTGAGCTTTTTTCACTTTTAATTTTTCAGAAACACCTTCCCAGGTTTTTCATAGCATTAATTTATCATTGTTAGTAACTTCTTTTATAAAATATCATGTTGAAGTACTACAATATAATTGAATCTATAGTTATTACTAGGCTATTTGTTGTTCCTAGTTTATCATTAAAAATAATCCTATTATGTATTCCTTTGTTCATTTAACTTGTTATTTAATTTAATTTTTTACAATTAAATCTTTATTGTTGAAAGTATTACATATATTCCCCTTTTTCCCCCATTTGACCCCTTCTACTTGCCCCAGTCTGCCTTCCAGGCCTTCACCACCCTATTGTCTGTGTCCATAGGTTATGCATATATGCATACAAGTTATTTGGTTGCTCTCTTCCCATCCACCTCCACCTTCCCTCTGAAATGCCACAGAATTTTTATAAATTCTTAATTGAATTTAAGCATAGTAACTGTTTACATGCACTGCTAAATTTCCTCCTATCAGGTGAACTAATTTGCTCAGAAGAAGAAGAGTTACATGAATGTACCTTTTATCTTATGTAGCTTTTCTGGCTTTGGAGTTTGTATTATCTTAATTTTTTCTAGTTAAACATGTGCCTCATTTTCTAAGTTTAGGTTTTCTCATTATTGACAAATGTTTCCTTATTTTTTAGATACTTATATTTTAATTTGTGGATATTATATTTCCCCCTCCATATTTTTTGCCCACTTATAATTGTTAACTGCCTATATACAATCAGAGTTCTTTCCATTTTTTTCTATGTAATGAAAAAAAAAAGAATCCATTTTGTTTTAGAAATAAACTATACTTGTAAGATGCTTTTATTTTAAAAAGTTACCTTTAACTTTTTGGTCTCCTTTGTTCACCAGATTCTTAGGTTTTGATGTATTACCAGTATTTGTTCTCACGCTTGTCCTTAACTAGCTGCTGCAGTGCAAAGTATGATCTTATATTAGAGGAGCAGTCAGAAGACTCAAAATCAAGTCACTCACACACAAGTAAAAAACACAAGAAGAAAACCCGTCACTGCTCTGAAGAAAAAGAAGATGAGAACTACATGCCAATCAAAAATACTAATCAGGTACTGCTCATGTCCAGACTCAGTGGTGGAGAAATAAATATTTTATCCCTTTATAAATTACATTGTAGTGATGGGCATGTTCTAAGTCTAACGTGTAGAATGGTTTCACTGGGTAATGAACTTTAATTTTTAAGAATATGTATCACAAATTATAAAAGATTGCGTTTGAATTAACTTAGTATGTAGTTTCCCATTGTGAAGCGAGTGATTTCCATACCAGCTGTGGACACTCCTCTGTTCCCATGAAAGCAAGTGTGGTTGTGCTCAGACAGTTCTCGCTTAGCGTTTTATCACCAAGTGTTGTGTGCTGCACTTAAAACTCTTGAGGGTTTAGGACCTGTGAAATATTTATTCCCTTCTGTATTGTATATATGAAATGAAAACAGTGCTCATAATTGATCATCCCAAAGCTTTCTTTAACAATGCATTTTCTAAGACAATAATAGTAAAAATTCCCCAAAGAAAAATTGATTATAAAGAGAAGAAAGCATTTCCAGCCTGCATTTTGGCTCTTAGTTAAATGAAAACAAGTTACACTACAGCTCCTGCTTTTGTTTTACCAAGTGAAGGCATCTGGGCCCTGGTGGAGGAGGAGGTGTCATAGGCCCAGGTGAGAAGGAACTCAAGACGGGGAGGATGTCAGGCAGGGACACCATGGAGAGAGAGATGCAGTATGGTTGGCAGAAAAGCCAGGTTTAACTTTCCACACTGCTCGTCATTGATGTGACCTCAACAAGTTACTCACCTTTCTGAACCACAGTTTCCTCTCTGTGAAATTGAGGTAATACTTATTTCACAGGCATGTTCTTCAGACGAAGTGAAAAGAAAATGTGTGCAATCATTTTCTACACTGGCTTTTGTTACTACTTTTATTTATATAGTCAAATTACGATGTTTTAAATCAGTTGAAGTACTTTCTCTGTGGTAATGCCACCCCCACCCCCCGTAGTTAACCATTTTAATGTGTTTTATGATTTATTCTTCATTTAAAAGATTTCAGCAAGCATATATTTTATATATATTCTTAGCCCCCTATTTTTTGGATAGCAAATATTCTTATTCTTTGCTGTTGTCTAACCAGACGTATACCTTCTCCTTTCCACAGCCCTTTAGCTATTTAAAGCTTGCCCTCCTTCATGCCCTGGCTTCTGTTTTTAAGTGACACCTTTGTCAGTCCTTTAAATGATCCGCACATGAATCAGTAATCGCTAACATCTTCAGAGTCTTTACAGTGAGGTGGATACTGTGGGCCCCATTTCACAACCAAGACAGTGAAAACGGAAGAGGTCAAGCAGCTTGCCCATAGTTTTACAGCTAATAAATAGTGGAGGCACAATTTAAATTCAGACTTGTACTCCTAACAAATTTACTGCTGCTCTTCTTAGCTGGAATATATTTGTTTTCTTTTCTAAATCTTACTGTTAGTCTAATACAATTTGTCCCATAGTGTAATATTTTAGTGTGATCTAATAGGAACATCTCCCTCCTAATGTTTGTACTCTATTATAAATTTAGCTTTTTTTGTTAATCTATTTTTATTGATTTCAGAGCGGAAGAGAGAAACATCAATGATGAGGGAGAATCATTGATGGGCTGCTTCCTGCACACCCCAACTCGGGATCAAGCCCAAAACTGGGAATTGAACTGTGACCTCCTGGTTTATAGGTCGCGGCTCAACCATTGAGCCACACTGGCCAGGCTACTTAGCTTTTTAAATGATGGCTATATCACATTTCTACAAATATTTAATGTTTTTCACTAAAACCCCTTAATTATCGCCCCCACCCCATGTATCGCCTTCAGCTAGAGATCACCATCCTGCACTTGTACATGGAATCATCAATGAATCTAGGCCTGAGATACACACTGGTGTGTCTGAGATAAGTTTTAAAGAAAATCCAAAGACTGGCTGCGTTTTATGTCTGTTATTTCTTCCCCTTATTATGAATCTTTTTTTTTTTTTAATTCTCACCCAAGGATATGCTTATTGATTTTATAGAGAGAGGAAAGTGGGGGCGGTTGGGGGGGAGGGGAGAGAGAGAGAGGAGAGAGAGAGAGAGAGAGAGAGAGAGAGAGAGAGAGAGAGAAAGAGAAAGAGAAAAAAAGAAAGAAAGAAAGAAAGAAAGAAAGAAAGAAAGAAAGAAACATGGATCAGTTGCCTCCTGTAGGTGCCCCACCTGGGGATTGAACCCACAACCTAGACATATGCCCCGAGCAGTAATTGAGCCTGAAACCTTTTTGGTGTATGAGACAACGCTTCACCCAACTGAGCCAACTGGCCAGAGCTTATGAATCTTTTCTATCCTGCTGCTTGCTTACTTAAAACTTTACATTAGCAAATATCCTCATTTGGCACAGAGCAAAAAGCATCAAGTGATATTTTGGGGGAATACTGTTGTTGTTTTTTAGAGAATATTAAGGTAGTTGGCAACTATGAAATTGTTAAATTCCAAATAGTAATCTCCTAACTTTATTTCTCCCTTTAAAGTGTATTAAAGCAGATGGATGTTTTTTTAATTGAGGTAACATTGGTTAATAACCTTATTTAAATTTCAGGTGTACAACATTGTAATTTGCTATCTGTGTACACTATAGTGGGCTCAACAGTATAGTTTCTAGTCGTCACTGTACCAATTTTGCCCCCCACAACCCCCTGCCCCTCTGGTAACCACCAATCTATTGTCTATATCTTTGAGTTACAGTAAATGTTTTTTATTTTATATTTTCATTTAATAATATAGCTATACTAATTTTCTGTTACTATTTTTTATAATAGAACAACATCTATATTTAAGATTTAAATGGGCTCCAATTTTTTCTGTTACTCTGATTCTCATCCTTTTGATTTCAGTCTCGAAAACATAATCATTAAAGGGAATTTTCAATACTAGGTAATTTCTGTGTATAGCTCAACTTCTTCTATTTGTTGCCATTTTGCTTGGTGAGCCTCATTTCCTAAGAATGTTTTAACTTATTTCTTCAAGTTCTTTGTTTTTTATTTAGTGACAACCTTATTATTCAATTTGAAAACTTCTCTATTTAAATTTTCCACCTGTGTCTTAATTCCAAAGATGGTTTCTGTGTTGTTGAGGTTTGGGTTTTCCTAGGGTTACAGGAAATGAGTCCTCAGCTGTGGGTTGCCTGGCTCAGATGTATTCATACTGGTAGTCAGTCCTCTGTGGTTTTCATAGGTGTTTAGTAGTCTTATAATTTGGGACTCTATTTTTGCTGTCATTTTAATCCTTTAATGTTATTTTAGTGATTTAGATTTAGCTAAATCTTTTATTTAATTCCAGTGACCAGAGCAAGGATGATTTTTAGTTAGATTAGACTTTTTTTTTTTTTACTTTGAAATCATATAGATTAGGTTGGTTACTTTAAATTGGCCACTTTATGTTTTCTTTTCTTTTTAGCCACATGCTAGTTTAATCATCTTGTCTTATGTCTTAAACATATAAAATGATAGAATTGTTTAAAGTCTGTGCAGGATAGGACTTAGAGCTCATCTGATTCATTTCCTTCACTTTAGATATGAGAGCCTGGCCCCACAGGCTGTGGACCTTATAGCTAGTGGGAAAGCTGGAAGTTTAATGTTTATTTCGATTCAGTCAGGTGTGGGTTTTCTTCGTTATTCTTTATCACCCCCATTTCAGTTTTACATATCCAGTTATTGATCAGTTAAATCATTACTTCCAACCTGTGCAGACCTCAAGTGTCAGTTTTCTTATTTCTGGAATGAGGATGATATTGTACTCAGCACTGTGCTAGCCCATACTTCGAGGACCTGTTCTAATGTGGCTTCTCCCAGACACCTGCACTTTTCTCCTCCATGCTCTCAGTGCGAATTCTTCCTTGCTTTTCAGTTTTCACGTGCACTGCTTGCATTAGCCTGCTCACTGCCAATCCAACCCAAACCCCCTCAATCTTTGAGGCTCCTCTCAAGTTCTAACTTTTCTATAAAACCTTCTCTGATAAACCTAATCTCAAGAAATGACAAAGACCAGTGGAACCTAAAGCTGCCTGACTTCAAAGCTTGTGTAGCTTTGAAATTACTCCAAGTTGGAGAGATTTTAAGGTTTCAGTCCATTTCAGATTTTCAGGTTCCTCAATTTTTTCAAAGAATTAAGTGCTACATAACCCCCCTCTCTTTCTCTAGTTTTAAACTCTTAAAGCATTTAAGTGCCAATATCTACATAATAAAAACCCAGTGGCCCTAATACCATAATGACCAAAGACCGGTGTGGGTGGGTGGGGCTGTGAGCCTGGTGAGGCGCAGGCGGGTGGGTGGGGCCGCGAGCACAACCAGGCTGCATGGGTGGGCGGGGCCGTGCGATTTCATGCGCTGGGCTTCTAGTATGTAATGTGCTATAGATTTTACAGAGTTATACATCAGCTAACTGTCTCTTTATGTTAAAAGTTTATTGTCTCAACCAATTCATAAAATAGGTGTACAGACAGAATTGTACATGGCTACTTTTTGTATCTGTTACAGGACGCACAAAAATTCTTTTATCTAAGGATGAAATATTTTGTTAGAAAATAATTGGTAAAGGGTTAAACCAAATACCGATTCATGATAAGAGCCATAGGGATTCTGTGGGAAATAATGAATCTGTTTATAATGTTGTATTTCACAAACACTGATTATAGTGATCCCATTAGATCTCTATTCACATACTGCAGTCTCCATGACAGGTGTATTGTACAGTCTCTAGACAGCTATGGAATAACTATGAGTCATTTGTTTAAAATTCAGTCTTTAACCAGGGGTACCCATTACTGTAGATTTTGAACCTTGACATTTACATCTACTTTAATAATATCTATGGTGATAGAGGCGAGACCCTTGGTAGTTCAATCCTTAGGATTTTGCCTTTCCTCTGAGAAATCTTTTAAGAAAGTTGAATTTTACAAGCCATCTCTTCAAAGAGCACTGGCTCTGGTCATTTTAGATTTCAGCCTCTTGCTGAGAGAACTCATTTTAATTAAGGGCAGAATACAAGCAGAAATAGAATTATAATTAGCCCTCTCCTGTATGGGAAAAGTACCACTGCTACTTAATATGAAGAATAGAACATTTTGGGGAGTGGAGAAGGGGGAGGTGGAAAGGTAACCATACATAACCAGAATTTTTAGTATTTCAATTTTGCTCTAAAGACCTGTTCTAATTTCAATTGAGCAATTTCAGTTTTTTGTTTTTAGTTCTGATCCTTCAGTTTGGCTGAATAGATACAAACCAATGAAATCGATTAGAAAAATGGTCAAATCTTTTTCTGAATTATTTTTGCTTTTTAATTTACAAAATGTCTGGCATTAGTGGTAGTGTTCAAATCTGAGCCACTACGACTGCTTGCTTATGGTGGGCTTGTCTAAGTTTTATTAACTGACAGTGATTCCATGGATTCACTTGTAATTCTCTTTATTCCTTTGACAGGATATCTACAGAGAAATGGGGTTCGGTCACTATGAAGAAGAAGAAAGCTGTTGGGAGAAACAAAAGAATGAAAAGAAGGACCGACCTCAAAACCGAAGTCGTAGCCGATCTCGAGAAAGGGATGGTCACTACAGTAATAGCCACAAATCCAAATACCAAACAGATCCCTATGAAAGAGAAAGGAATAAAAAGAGAGACCGAAGCAGGAGTCCCAGGAAATCCAAAGATAAAGAAAAATCGAAGTACAGATGAAACATGAAGAATCAGACATGGGTGGCTAAAATACTTACTCTTGTCTAACTTAGAGTGATAGATGTTCAGATTTTGTCTCAAAACAGTTAAAGACTCCACTTGGTTTTTTCCTGTATTCTGAGTGTCCCCCTTATAGATTAATACTGATTGTGTGGGGCACAGAAAGACAATAAAGAATTGAACATTTTCTTTGTATATTTTTTTACACTAATTTTATTGTTAAACATAAATAGTAGTCTTCATTTTTCAAGTCTTTCACATTTTCCACTTTTTAAAAATGAAGTATTTCATACATAAAAAACACACACATGTATATATGAGGATTAAAAATAATTATCTTTGTACCTATCAGCTAGCTTAGGAAATGAATATTACCTGCATTTTGGTAATATTGGTAAAGTCCCTCATGTGCCCTCTCCTTCTCAAGTAATTATTATGAATTTTGTGTTTGTTATTCTCTCATTTGTTCTAGTTTTACAATATATGTATCCCTAGATGAAATGTTAAGTTTTGTATGTTTTTGAATTTTATATAAATGGCATAATGTATGCTCATTTCTATGACTTGCTTTTTTCGACTTAGTACTTTTTGGGAGTCACTCATTTTTATTGCCGTATAGTTCTATGAATAGACCGCAGTTTATCCCTTCTCCCGTGGATGGATGTTTGGGTTTGTTGGTTTTGTTTTTGCTATTGCAAACAATGCTGCTATGAACATTGTATATCTAGGAGGGACACTGCTTGGCCATGTGGTATGGAAGTCTTCATTTTACAAGATAATGCATCTCTTCTGTGGCTGCACCAGTTTATACCCTACCAGCACTATGTGAGTTACCTTTCTTTCACATTTTCTCCAACACTTAATTCTAGGCTTTTTCATTTTGCCAATCTCATGGAGGTTAAGTGGCATCTTATTGTGGTGTCCAGCAAGAGCACTATTATTCTTATTTTTGTTCTTCTATATGTAATGTGTCCTTTTTCTCTGCCTGCTTTGACCTTTTTGAGCTTTAAGCAGTTTGATTATGATGTGCTTGGAGTAGATTTTTTTCATGTTTCTTCTACTGGGGCTATTTCCTGTGGTTTTATGGTTTTCATAAAATTTGGAACATTTTTGGCTGTTATTTCTTCAATAATAATAATAATAATAATAATAATAATAATTGTCTTTCCTGTCCTTTCACTGCTTTCCCTCTGGGACTCCAATTGTATGTTAGGCCACATTAAATTGTTTCACAGTCTGGTGGGTTTTTTTTAAAGTTTTTTCTCTTTGTATGCCAAGTCGGACATTTTCCATCATGTCCTCAAATTCGTTAATCTTTTCTCCTGAAGTATCTAATGTCTTGTTAATTCCATTCAGTATATTTTTGACCTTGGACATTATATTTTTAAACATTTTTTTGTTAATCCTCACCTGAGGATATTTTTCCATTGATTTTTTTTTAAGAGAGTGTGGAAGGGAGGGGGAGAGACAGAGAGAGAGTGGAAGGGAGCAGGGGAGACAGAGAGAGAGGAACATTGATATGAGAGAGATATCACAGGTTCAACCAAGGCCAGGGATCGAGCCTGCAACTGAGGTATATGCCCTTGACCGGAATCAAAGCCGGGACCCTTTAGTCCACAAGCCAATGCTCTATCCACTGAGCCAAACCGGCTAGGGCTGACATATTTTTAATCTTTTTAGAAGTTTAATTTTGTTTTTTTATATCTACCATGTCTTTCCTTAACATGCTCGTGCATTTTTTTTTATCTTTGAAACATCTGGAGTATATTTGTAATCGGTGTTTTAATGTTCGTGTGCATTCTGTCATCTGTGTCATTTCTGGTTTGTTTCTGTTGGTTGACTCCCCCCCCCTCCCCCCCATTAGATTATAATCTCCTTCTCCGCATGCCTGATGATTTTTTAATTTTACGTTGTTAGGTGCTGGAGTTTTTTATATTCCTTTAAATATGTTGAGCTTTATTCTGGGACATAATTAAGTTACTTGGAAGCAGTTTGATCCTTTCATAGCTTCCTGTTAAGCTTAATGAGGTAGGACTAGAAAAGCCTTTAGTTAGGGCTAATTCCAGATAAGCCTTAGGTAATAACCTTTCTGTATAATCTGCCCTGTGCCTGGTCTGGTATGAGGTTTCTCCGTTCTGGCTGTTGGGAATGAAAGCTATTCTAAGCCCTGTATGAACTCCCTGGTTGTGTCAAGAATGTCACTTTTAGGTGTTGGTTTGTTTTTAAATCTAAACTCAATCAAAGTTCAAGCACTGCAAGTTGTTCTTGTCAGTTTATTCTGTTAATCTAGAAGAGTTTCCTACCCATCCATCTATGTCTACCTCCCTTCTTTTTAATGATGACTTACATTTAAATTTATTGTTGAAAGTATTACAGATGTCCCTTTGACGTTGACTTTTTGAAGAGTTCAGGCCAGTTGTTTTGTAAAATGTTCCACTTCTGGAATTGATGGCATCATTATGGTGTTTCTAACCGCTTTATTTCCTGTAAACTGGAAGTTAGGACTAGGTGTCTGATTAGAATTGGGTTTTGTATTTTAGGTAGAAATTTCTAAGTTTAATGTCAAATTTATTTGCTTTTCTCTCTGTGTTTTGGGCCTTTTCTATTTTGTTTAAGAAATCTTTAATAAAGATATTCTATATTCTAAAAGTTATAAATAAAGCTTTGTTTTTTTACATTTAAATTTTTAATCCTCATTAAATTGTGTGTGTGTGTGTGTGTGTGTGTGTGTGTATGGTGTGATATCAAGATCCAAATTCACCTTTTTTTTAAACATATGGATAAGTCCAACTGTCCACACCCCATTAATGAATGGTTTGTCTATTCCTGGTTGGCCTACAATTCCATTTCTCTCATATACGTTTCTATATATGTTTGGGTTTTGTTTCACGGGCTCTCTATTCCATTGGTTTATTGTTTATTCTACTGCCAATACCAAACATCTACATTTCTGTAGCTTTATAGAAAGTATTTACACAAGTCCCCCACCTGTTTCTTTAGGAATGCCTTTACCTTTTGTTCTGTGCAGTTGTGGAACCAACTTCTCAGGTTTTCCAAAGAATTGTGTTGGGACTAATTACCTTTGCATTCAAATGGTTGATCATTTTGTGGGGGGTAAATCTTCATAATATTGAATTTTGAATTTTCCTGTTCATAAAGATAGCATATCCTTCCATTTAGTTATTTAAATTCTTAGAATTTCCTTTATAAAGTTTTTGAACTTTCTTTGTTAAATTTACTCCTGGTTTCCTTATCCTAATGTTCTATTATAAATAGTATCATTTAAAAATATGATTTTCTCTTTCCTGACCTATGAAGTTACATATATATTTTTAACTTTTTATTTTGAGATAATTTTAGATTTTCGAAAGGGTTAAAAAAATAAAAATGTGTGTAACATCCTGTGCAGGGGCCATGCTAGTCATATTTATAGCATTCCGATTTTAGTATTTGTGCTGCTGAAGTGAGTTATATTTTTAATTACTGTTCTTACATCCATCCATTTTACTAAATTTAAAATCTGTAAGGTTTTATGTGAGCGATAAATAATATCTGCAAATAATATTTTTTTCTTCATTATTTTAAAATTTGTTAAAATATATGTATACATACACAGTGTAAAAATATTAGGGAAAACAAGTCTACTTTTAAGGTCTACCCCGACCTCCATCATTGCAGAGCTGGGAGGATGTCTGCAGATGTTTTATTCTAGCCGAGTCTTTCTCTGAAGGTGAGCCCTTCTAATCACCTGGCCGTATGTGAAGATTTTATATTTTTTAAGTTTTTAAAAAATATGTTTTGATTGTAGAGAGAGGAAGGGAGAGGGAGAGAGAGAGAAAAAACATCAGTGTGAGAGAGAAACATTGATTGGTTGCTTCCCGAATGCACCTGCAATGTAGGTATGTGCCCTGACCGGGAAATGAACTGGCGACCTGTTGGTGCACAGGATGATGCTCAGCCAACTGAGCCACACTGGCCAGGGCTTATGTGAAGATTTTAGACTCAGCTTCCCAACCCTCTTTCAGGCCCCAAACCTAGTCTTCATCAGCATCCCTCCTCACTGTTGGCCTGAGGTTTTTAGCCCCCAACCTCCACTACATAACTCTTAGCCATCAATAGAGAAAATGGTAATGACGTTACATAAGAAACTATCACCCCCACCTGGCTGGTGTGGCTCAGCGGTTGAGCATCGACCCAGGAACTAAGAGGTTTCGGGTTCAATTCCTGATCAGGGACATGCCCAAGTTATGGGCTCCATCCCCAGTGGGGGCTGTGCAGGAGGCAGCCAATTGATGATTCTCATTGATGTTTCTATCTCTCTATCCCTCTCCCTTCCTCTCTCTCTCTAAAAATCAATAAAAATCTATTTAAAAAGAAACTATCACCCTGAATAGAGAAAGATAAACATTGTCCATACAGAACTCTAAAATGTGGCCTTAAAGAATGAGCAAGGGAAAAATAATGGTTGAATATGATAGGAGTAGTGAGAAGAAATAACTTACTGATTTCTGAAACTTGAATTCAGTAGGTTTAGTAAATGGGAAAAAATAAAAGTAGTAAAAATTTCTGAACCTAGCATTTTAAGGAAAAATTGTCCTTAATTGCAAAAGCTGACATTTTAGGTATGAAAAACTGTCGTTTTAACAAGAGATGTATGTATGGAAACAAAGTTCTGTTAACAGGAAGTGATTTTAATGGCGATGGCCCCTAACCACAGTGTCCATCAGGCACCCTTGACTTACAGGGCAGTCTGGTGCTCTGTTACTACTATTAACATCTAGGTTAAAGCAACCATGTGATTTTGAAATTAAAAATGCTCACTCATTATAACTTGCTGCAAGGTTTCAGGTTGATCTCTTTAAAAAATTTTTAAAAATTGATTTTAGAGATGAAGGGATCGAACCTGCAACCTGGGCATGTGCCCTGACCGGGAATCGCACCATGATCTAGTTCATAGGTTGATGCTCATGAAACATGCTGGCTGGGCTGGGTTAATCTCTTTACCAGTTGAAATTTGAAGGATTTTGGTCTGAACTATTAAAGGCTCAAAGCAGAGAAACTTTAAGTTTATACTCACACAAATGTTTTTTAATAAATTTGTTGCTTTTTAGTTATTGAAATATATTTCATATCTGTTTTCCACTGATCATAAAAATTTTTAATCTCAAGTTTGACGTTTCTTACCCATCTAGACTGAGTCACAAAGAATGCATAATAGCTAGTAAAATCGAAATCACAGAGGCCTTTACCTTTCAGTGGCTGTTGCTATGAAACTGTTTTGATGGGAAATTTTAGAGAAGCTTGTGCTTCCTGTTATTAAACGATAGAATATGGAGATCCCCTTAATTTTCAAAAAAAAATTCTTTTTTTAAGCAAGTAATCTTAATTCTCGCTACTGGGGCAATCTTTATTCTTACCGATCTTACTCCACAGCGGACTGCTGATTAGGGTTAATTTTGTTTGCCTCCTCTCCTAGTCCTTGTATATCGAATGGGCAGATGGGCGGGGGTTTTGAGGGGTGTTTTATGTGCAATTGAAAAGTTGTATTGCTATTATTTTATTTTGCTTAGGACAGTGGGAAGCTTGAGACACCTAAAGGATTGCAAATATGGCAACGCACTAGCAAGAGAGCTTGTATAAAAAGAGAACTTAGGAAAAGTGTGGCTTTGTTGTCGTGGATCTAGAATAAGACCACACTCACCTGTGGTTCTTGAAAAAGAGAAAAGTTTTGTTTTGTTTTGTTTCTCCAAGGGCAGCTTGGTCTGGTGGGCAGAGCTTGGGATTCTGAGTCAGAAAACGTGAGTCAAGAGCAGGGGCAAGATGGAAAGAACAATGTGATGGTGTGACTGAAGAGAGGACGGGAGAGTGGTGAGCGTCGGAAGGGAGGAGGGAATTAGGGAAGGGCGTGCACTGAATGCAAAGCTGAGAAGCATGGATTTGCTTTTTCAGGCAGCAGGAAAGTAGAACATATTCCGGGTTAAAGATGTGGGTGGCATTGGGGAGCTGAGAAAAGTTGTTCTGGGGGTTGTATACAGGCTCTTCCCCAAGGGCCAGCCCTCAGCTCCTCAGATGGCATTGCCTCCCATTCGTTCACTATCTCTGGATAGCCCCCAATCCAGATTCCCATGAAAGCTGGCTTCCCAGGGGAGACAATGTGGAAGCCGAGACCTTGTGCACTGGTAGCCACGTTGCTGCAGAACTAGAATGTGGAATGGGCACCACAACAATAAAAAACTTTAACGTTTTGCTATCTTTGCTACATAATCACTCATTTGGCATTATAGAAAGGAACTAGAGGCCTGTTGCACAAAGAGATTCGTGCAATAGGCCTTCCCTTCTCCTGGCTGCCGGCACCGGTTTTCCTCTGGCACCCGGGACCCAGGCCTTCGCTCGGGCCGGAGCCGCCTTCCGTCCTCCGTCTTCGCGGCTCCGGCTCACCTTCAGTTTTTGCTCTGCCACTTGGAGCCTATGTATCTTTGTTGGCTGTTAATTTGCATATCGTGCTGATTAGCCAATGGGAGGCGTTGCAAAGGTACGGTCAATTACCCTGTTTGTCTATTATTAGATAGGATGCAAATAACTTGGTCATGGACGGACATGCTTTTAGGAAAACTCTGACATGGCGTAGGGTCAGGATGAAGACTGGCTTGTTGGCGGTGCTCCCCTTATCCTGCGTTGTAGGAAGTGTGGCGAGGTCTGGCCTGTGGTCCTGAGAACAGGCCCTCGTGTGGCACGTGGAGGGCACCTCCCGAGTAGAAAACTGGTCTCACAAATTCTGCAAACTCAGCAGACGGCAGGAATGCATTTTAAAGCTGTTTCATTATTACGTTGACAAATGGTAGCTGCTGTTAGAAAATCCATTGAAGCTTGAATTAGTGCTCAAAGTGACCATCTTAATCTAGGTTCCTAGCAAAATGTTCCTTTTTCTTTTTTTAAAAAAATATATATTTTATTGATTTTTTACAGAGAGGAAGGGAGAGGAATAGAGAGTTAGAAACATCGGTGAGAGAGACATTGATCAGCTGCCTCCTACACACCCCCCACTGGGGATGTGCCCACAACCAAGGTACATGCCCTTGACCGGAATCGAACCTGGGACCCTTCAGTCCGCAGGTTGACTCTCTATCCACTGAGCCAAACCAGTCAGGGAGAAAGTGTTCCTTTTTCTATTGGTTTCAGATTGTACTTTTAATTTTTATGTCAACAATCCCATTCTGTATGTTTTAACCTTCTAGATGGCCTCAACTCTTCTGTGGGAGACAAATGGGGAGGGAATAAAGAAGAGAAGTGAATCCCAGTTACCATGTGCCATTCTTACTTCCTCAGCACCCGCTCCCAGGTTCTAACCCAGCCCGATCCACCCCGACCCACTGGCTGACGGCGTGTCCTTGGACCGGTCACCCTGGAGGAGAGTCTGTCCCATGATGTGACTGCTGCAGATGAGGGCCCAAACAGGTCGCTGCCTGTAAATCCCCTCAGAGACTGTCTGATCGACCCCTCACCTGTGCCCCAGCCAGGTGTGCTGGTTCCTGGGTTCCTGGGTTCCTGGGACAGGCCAGTGCCCTACCCAGGCAAGTATGTAAGGCATGTTGCCCTTATCTGGGCTGGGTCACGCCCAGTACCCCTACTCACTCTGCTCTGTTCTAGATCATTCTTTACTGCCTGCCACACGGGAAGGAGGCTGTTCCTTCATCTTGCCAAGATGCCCCTCGTAAGGTCCCTTAATAAACTCTCGATGTAGGGATGGAATGGCCAGCCTCTCTCTTTGGTCTTGGGCACTTCAGAGGCATGGTGTTTTGTCGGCTACTGTGTGGTTTGATCCTGTTCTTTGTCTTATTCTGGCCCCTGATGGGCATACCCAAGTGCAGGAAATAAATGCAGAGTTTGGGGTCTGTTTGCCCATATCCCATGAGGCAGCAGAATGCTGTGGTCAGGTGGGTTTGGGGTCAGGTGGGTCTGGGATCAGGTGGGGCTGGGGTCAGGGGGGTCTGGGATCAGGTGGGTCTGGGGTCAGGTGGGTCTGGGATCAGGCTCCAGAGCCTCAGTGACAGAGAAGCAGCCTCCCACCCCTTGCAGGGCTGAGGGACCTGAGCCCAGGGTCATATCCCCGACAGAGGCAAGTAGCCTGGTCCCCCAGCCCACAGGACGTGGGGACTTCCTTGGGACTCTGTGACGGAAGGGACAGGGTCCTTCCCCAGGCCCATGGCCCCCGTGCACCCTGTCTGCCCAGCCATTTCTGGTCTCCCCTCGCCCTGTGTGTGTAGCTTTCTGCATGAAGCTGTGAGCCCTGACCGTCCTCGGGAGCCTGTGGGCTCAGCTGCAGCCTGGGTGGGAACTCGGAGCGGAAGTTCCCCCCCAACCCATTAGCGCCTCTGTCTCCCCAGTCCCTCCTGGCTTTCCTGTGCTGCTGCCAGGGCCCTCACCCAGAGCTCGTTTTGCATGTGGTTGTTAAACTTTGATTCGTGACTCATGCTGAGGCTCAGGCTTGAATGCCTCCCTCATTTGATTGCTTTCTTCCTTTCCTTGTTTTTTTTTTTAGCCCAAAGCAAAAGTACCTTTGCAGCTGAGCGGGACCGTGGCATCCAGGAAGTGGTGCTCGGGCATAAGAAGTCTCCCAACAGCCACGTGGCGTCAGTGACACCTGGGTCGCGGGGAGGAGAGGGCAGCGTGGCAGCTGGGCAGCCCGGAGGAACGGAGGCCCCTGGAGTCCACTGCGAAGGCCGCAGCGACAGGCTCTGCTGGTGAGTGCACGTCCCCGGCTGTCAGGCGGTCAGACACCGCGCAGCCTTGTGTGTGGGGAGACCCAGCGTAAGGGGCCGGAGGGGTGCAGGTTGGAGAGCAGTTCTTGGAGGAGGAATCTATTTTCTCACACCTTAAATCCTTGTAAGTGCTCAGATGGGGGGGAAAAAAAGGTAAGCATTTTAAATTTCCTTGAGGTGAAATCCTTATTTATTTCAGCAAAGTTGTCTTTAATTTCAGGATGTTTTTTGTGGGAGAAAGATTAATCAGAGGAAGCTGCTTGGTTTCAGTAAAAACTTCTGCTGTAGTCTCTGGAAGGATTTTAATTTTATGAAATCAGAAGGAATGATCTAGAACATTTTAAACCTGTGCCTCGCTCTTGGAGGCATCTTCTAGATTAGAGATTGATGTGTGGGTGTCAGTTTCCTGGCCGACCAGGGACAGAAGGCAGCAGAGCAGCTCAAACACCGTCTCCTCTAGAGGGTGGCTCCGTGGGCTTCCAGAAGGCCTATGAGGATGCTGAAATGCATTTTAATCTGATGGCAGTGAAGACAATTTTGGCCAATTCTCTGCTCCCATTAGAAGCGTCAGCCATGCCCCCAAGACTATAAACTCTTCCCCAAGGCCCAGGGAGGCCAGCTCGGGAGTGCCAACACCTGACCTGTGCAGAGGCTGGGAGTGGAGGATAGTAGAGGGCTTTGTTTTTTTGAAACGTTGCTTCAGAGTTGCCCTGGGCTACAGATCAGGGTGTACATACTCACATGTACACCCAAAGTAGCCTGTAGCAAGAGACGAGTTCAAGGAGGTAACCAAGGGCCAGGCCAGTCTACCCACACTCATAGCAGCAATTCACAGCAGCCGAAAGGTGGCAGCAACCCTAGTGTCCACTATCCGATGAAAGGCCAAACAGAATGCAGTACATACACACAATAAAATACTATTCAACCTTAAAATGGAAGGACATTCTGACACATGTAACAACAAAGGTGAACCTTGAGGACATTGTGCTAAGTGAAATAAGCCATCACAGAAGGACATATGCTGTGATTCCATGAGGGGCTGAAAGTAGAAGTGTGGTTGCCAGGGATGAGGGAAAGGGGAGAGGGAGTTAGTGTTTAATTGGTATAGTTTCCACTGGGGAAAGCGAAAAAGTTCTGGAGATGGATGGTAGTGATGCTTGCTTAATGCTACTGCACTGCACTCTTAAAAATAGTTAAGATGATAAATTTTATGTATATTTCACCACAATTAAAAAAATTGTAACTCCCTTTAAAAAAAAAAAGGCCAGGCCTGGGCTGAAGTCCTTGCCTCTCCGTAACTTCCCCAAAATCTAACCGACTCCAGTGAGAGCTCTAGAGCTGAGCTGAATGGGGCAACTTCCGCCTGGACTCCATTTAGAAAAACTTTCTCCCCATCACAGTGGAGCTGGCAGAGGTGACCGGGATGGACCTGGGGGTCTGAGGCAGTGTGTTGCATGTGCTCACTCTGGGGCCCATGTGTGGGTTCACTCTGCTCTGAGGCCCTGAGCAGCCCTGGGGAGCACCCTCTGACCTGGGAGATGGTGGGAATCACTGCTCTTGGGAGTCTGGTCTCTCTCTCCCACTTATTAGCTGTGGGATCGTGGGTAAGTCAGCAAAACCTCTCTCCTCCTCGGTTTCCTCACCTGCAATATGAGCAACCCTTTCTACCTCCCAGGGATGTTAGCCTTTCCAAAGATAATACACAAGGAAGCGCCTTCTAACTATAAAACACTGTGCGCAGGTGAGCTACCGGCTCACTACAGGTCTTCCCCTCTCATTTCCTCCTCCTCTTTCCCCTTTATTCCTGTCCTCGGGGGCCCTTCCAGACCACGGGGATGGATTGGTTGATTCTAGAAGGGCCAGGTCTGATCTGATTCCCATTTCCCACCTGTGAGGTCACTCCCCCCCTTCCTTCCACGCTGTTTAGTTAGGTCACCTCTGACTTGGGCTTCTACCTGAGCAACAGTCACCCGCACTGCTCCCCACAGGAAAGTGTCACGGTGCTGACCCTCATAGGAGCCCCTGAGGAGACTTGGAAGGTTCGCAGTGTTACTAACCAGCGGTGCTGTTTGTGACTTCCAGTCAAGATTGAGGAAGAAAGCTCAAGTGAACTCGTTCACAGTTTCAGGTCTTAAAAATAGGAAGGAAAAGAAGCCGGCCGTGTTGCAGCTCAAAGACCGTCCCCTCTGAAGGGAGAGATGTGACCCGAGGGCCCAGCCCAGGTTTCTCCCTTATTTAGAAATTTTCAAAGGAAATGAAATTGATTTTAAAGTCTCAATGGGGGGGCAAAGCCTCTGAAGTGGGCAGATGTTTCAGTTAAGCCTCTTCAGAGAGCGGCTGTGTGGGGACCTGAGCGCTCTGCAGAGAGCTGCTGGGGGCAGGGCTCGCCTGGCCACTCACTCCCACCCCGGGTGAGAGCCCTGAGGTGTTTTCTCTTGAAAGTGTTCATGTTTCTGTCATTGCAGAATGCAAGGTTACAAAACTCACGCGGACTCTCCCAGTAGCTATTACTCTGTGGCCAGGGAGGTCACCTGACCTGTCACCGTTGGGCTGCCCCCTCTGCAATAACTAGGTGTTGCCTCCATCCTGAACACAGCTCAAAGCAGCGCGTTTCTTTGGCATCTACCTGTGGTCAGTCTCTGCCATTTACGAGCTTTGTGCCCTTTTCTCGGTGCCCCTCTGAGCCTGTTTCTTCTCCTATGCAAAGAGAGTACTTTCATCTACCCACCTACCCAGCAGAGATCATGGAAAGTTCGAGCAAGCGTCTCTACGTGAAAGCGATGTGGAAACAATGAGGAACTATGTGCAAAGGACTTTTCTGTTCGTGTTGCTTGTTTCTGTCTTTCTTCTCTTCTCTCTGACTTTAGTCCCGTCCTGCTAATCTTTCTCTCCTCCTCCTCTTCCATTTCACTCTTTCTTCCAAACCAAAGTAAGTGCTACAGTGCACGCGTTAGCAGGAAGGGCAGGAGTGGGACTGGAGCTGGAGCTATTGGGACTGGTAAGGCTCCTTGGAGGATGTGACAGTGGGGTTGGGCCTGGTGGAGGGGCGGGTGCTCCTGGCAGAGGGAAGAGCCGGTGAGAAGGTCTGCTGGCCCGGGAGACAGTGAGCGACTCCTGGTGTGAGGCTGGGCTGCCAGGCTGGGTGAGTGCCCTCCTCCTCCATGGAGACTGGACCCCAGCCCAAGGAAACAGCCGTCCTGAGAGGGGACTGGTCACTAGTTAAGAGTAGAAGGAGAGGCTGGACTAGAGGTACGTGACCAAGGACATTGGAAGGAGGGCCTGGCCCAGTGGGGGAGGGCCTTTAGGCTCATGCTGTAGAGTTTTGACGTTTGCTCTGTACAGGACGGAGGCACAAGGACGTGTTGGAGAAGATATAGGAAGTCTTTAGTCAGTGCACTCACTTGATTGGAGCTGTGGGTGACAGGTTGGAGAGGAGCCCCTGGGAGAGAGACGACATGGCCCGGCTCTGACTGGAAAAGGCCCGCTCTTCCTTCCTTTGTTCTCTGGGTCCATGAGGGCCCTTCTGGTCTCTCCTTTCCCTCAAAGGAAGATGAGTCATTCCTCACCTGTGTTTTGAAAACACATTTTTCTAATCAAAACTATTGTGTTTATCATCATGATTTATGGCTTATTATTTACATTTGTTGTCTGTTTTCCCGAATAGGTTCTGAATGAATGGAAATTAGACTGTGTTTTATTTTGTTTTCATAGAACTGGGTTGCAGCACAGTAGGTGATCAGTGTATGTTACACAAATGAATGAATAGATGAATGAATGAACGCACTAGAGTGGTGGTGCTGTGAGTGTAGAAGAGAGGATGGTCATGGAAAATGTCCAGGAAGTAGAAGTGATGACATTTGAATGTAGATGTGAGAGAAAGGGAAGAATCAAAAGTGACTGAGATTCTTCTTTGGGCCTCTGGGAGAAGCCATTCAGTGAGATTCAGAACCAAGAAAAAAAAACATGTGAGGAGAGAAGATAATTTCAGCTTTGGACATTTATTAAAGGAAAATCTATTAAACTCAGGTAGAGTAGGCCCTATGCCAGGTATTTGTGATTCTGAGACAAATAGATCAGAGTGCAGTTCGCAGATTCCTGAGAAATAGATAAGAATTCAGTGTGTCATGACAGGTGTGAGCAAAGTGCCTGGTAGATGAGATGAGTAGCCTCTCATTCTGTCTGTGGAGTTAAGGGTGGCTGCTTGGAGTGCCTTTGAGCTGCATCTTGAAGTTTGCCAAACCAAAGAGCACTCCAGGTGGAGAGGAAAGCATGCACGGTGATGTGAATGTTCTGGAAAACTTGGGGAGCCGGAAGGGATTCAGCATGGCTCCAGAGAAAGAGCTAGTAGGCCAGTGGTGGGTGGTGAGTTCGACAGGTGACAGCCCAGCAGCCTGCTCAAGAACCCAGTGCCTTTCTTGTAGTCAACACGAGGTCAGAGGGTATTTATAATCAGGGGGTGATATGGGCACAGGCAGGGGGGTGATGGTGACAGTTGGGCACAGCAGAGGCCTCTCTCTCCAGGAGTCTGGCTGAAAAGTGCCCTTCACCTGCCAGACCCTGTCACTGTTGGCTCTGTTCGGGTTCCAGCACTACAGGGAGAGGCCCAGCACGAGAATGAGGAGCCGAGCTGGGAAGCTGGAAAAGAGATGCGGATCCTTCAGGGGACTCCTGTGGGAGACTAAACTGAAGGTCAAGACCAAAATCAATGTCACAAAGGTTCCACTGAGCGTGATTTGTAACAGGGAAAAATGGAAGGCAATTTAAATGTCATCATTTGGCATACGGTTAAACACCATTCCTTCCTTCATTCATCCATCCATCTATGCATCCATCCAATAAATACGCATCTTCAGCTGTGCCAGGCCCCCGTTCAAAATGCTAGCCCTGACCGGTTTGGCTCAGTGGATAGAGTGTCGGCCTACGGACTGAAGGGTCCCGGGTTCGATTCCAGTCAAGGGCATGTACCTTGGTTGCGGGCACATCCCCAGTAGGGGGTGTGCAGGAAGCAGCTGATCGATGTTTCTCTCTCATTGATGTTTCTAATTCTCTATCCCTCTCCCTTCCTCTCTGTAAAAAAATCAATAAAATATATTTAAAAAAACCAAAATGCTGGAGATGCAGTGGGAAGCAGAACAGATAAACAGGTGTGGAAAGATTTCCATAACTAATTTTTTAATAAGAAAAGCAAGTTGTTGAACATTACATACAGGATGGCACTATTTATGTTAAAAAACATTCTCTCAGGACAGTACATCTGTGTGTCTATTAGATATGCAAGTAAATGCATAGGAAATATGCTGGGAGAGTGCAAACAAATACTCAGCAGGAGAGGCAAGTGGGATTTGGGGTGTGTCCGAAGAGACAGTGTATCTTTTTATTCTTATCCTTCTGCATTGTTTTGCGTTTTCACAGTTAACTTATTTTCATGATTATGTCTGTATTCTAAGATGTTTTTTGAAAGATGTCGGCCTTTGTGAGCAGATGAGAGAGGGACCCAGTCTGTCTAGAGTGTCCTATTGGTTTAATCATCTTCTTTATGTAAACATCTGGCTGCAAGCCCGCATCAGCACACCCCTCCCCCCAGAGGTGTGGGCCACACTTGTGGGGAAAGGATGGCATTTGGATTAGGACCTTTTAGAGGTTTGGTATGGTCTCAATTAATTGCTCGGGAAAGCTGAGCCAGTGCATAGAGTTGAATTTGGGTGCACTTGCTGGGCATAGAATTTGCCAGGGGGATTTTTCCTTGTTTAAGCTGAGGAGCTGTATTACTTTACCAGGACGGCCATAACAAAATACCACAGATTGGGTGCTCTGGATTTTATATATATATAATGTTATGTGTTATATATTGTAATAATATTTTATATAATAATATATGCTATTATGTAA